TCAGTCACCACCGCATCAGCCGCGATTACAGCAGCGCCATTGAATTCCATGCCGCTTTTGGCTTCCGACATAAGTGCATCGAAGTCACCCAAAACCTTCTTCGCCGTTTCCATTAACTTTGTAAATTTTTCGTCCTCAGTCTGAGTGCCCGCTGGAGCACTCACTGATTGTGCCAACGCCAAGGCATCGTCCGCAACACCCAATAAACTGCTCAGAGAGGCTGCAATGCGTGTCATTACGTCTGCAACTTTGGTCAAAGCCGTCTGTGACTGCACCGCAGCCGTGATCCCCTTTGCCACAATGTCATTGACATTACGAACGACATCCAATATCTCCGTCGCCCCGGCTGCCGCGTTCTTCAGGGCCTCGCTGGCTTGCTGCGCCGCTCCTCTTGCCTGCTGCACTGGCACTTCTGCACTCCTCACTGCCGCAGCTGTTTTATCCACCGCATACTGAGGTGATGACGTCGCATGCAAAGCATTCTTCCTTGCATCTTCAATCAGCTTCTGCGTCNCTGCCGCAGCTGTTTTATCCACCGCATACTGAGGTGATGACGTCGCATGCAAAGCATTCTTCCTTGCATCTTCAATCAGCTTCTGCGTCTCTTTGTTCTTAAGGTCTGCAAGAGTCGGGTCTTTGTTTACCACACCATTCTTCGGAGGCAGCAGTATCTTCGTAAGAGTTTTATGCAACAGATACACCAGACCCACTGCATCGCCAATCTTTCCTTTCTCGGACTCGTCCACCACGTTCCCCGCAACCTTCATGGCTCCCTCCGCTGCCGCCCTTACACTCTCCAGTGCCTTCTTCGCAGAAATTGCTGCCGCCTCTGTCTGGTTCGCGGCCTCCAAAGTCTTCCTCCTCACCGTCACGTCCTCCTCCTGCGCGGACACCTCCGCCGGGGTCCCCGCACCACTCGCGGATGGCACAGAGGAAGCCTCAGCCTCAGCAGCCACGCAGAAGGACGTGCAGCAGCACAGCGCAAGGGCCAACACGCACAGCACGTGGCGCAGCATCAGCGTCAATGTAGCCTGGGACCACCTGTGTCTGCG